TTAATTATTACTAATTATATTATTAATTTCTTTCACAGGAAAACGTTAATTTCTATTTTATTATGAAAGAAGTTGGTCGTGCGAAGACATTTAGACAATATATTTTTTTAATTTTCATCTTCGCCTTAAAAATGAAAAAGAAATTCGATTAAAAAAAAAGATAATTGAGCAATAATGAATTCTTTCATACCATTCTGAACTAATTTACATTGTTTGTTATATTTTATTCATTTCCTACTTAATATTACATCAAAAAATGTCTTCCATCCATTACGTTTCCATTTTTCCCCTTCTTTCTGTACCATCAATATTAATTAGTTTAATAATTACTTTCATAATTATTCAATTGCTCAGTGAAACTTTCATTTAATATATTAAAAAAATGATGTAATTTTTTTCTTTTTGAAGCTGAAATATAATTTAAGACTAACAGTTTATGTGGCTAAATTGATGACAACAGTTTCATTCGGTTTAAATAATGCTAGCTCAAAATTCATAAATTTTCATCCACTTAGAATCACTAATTATCGGTTGTGGAAAAAAGTGAGAAAGTAAAAAATGAAATGATCTTTTGTTGAATATTAATTAGTAGAATGAAATAGAATCAATTAGCGTTAGCCGTATCATTTATATCCATAAGATAGAAAAAAATGAATTGTGATTGTTTTTAGAGACGAGGAATGAAAAATGAATTTGAAAAGATAAGAATTAAATAAGATGGAAAGGACAAAATGAGGGAGTAGAAAAATAAAATTCGATTAAATGAACAAAGTTTTTGCATAACATTTCCATTCTATGAAATAAAAATTTGCGCTTTTCAGTTTGATTACATCTATTTGAAATGATTTATATTTTCGTTCTGTCAATACTGTCTTTTTTTTGAAAAGAAATTTCCTTTCGGACATCTTTGCTTATCGCTTAAATTTCAAATTCCCTGGCAAATATTAATTTCTGTTGGAGTTTCATCTTAAAAGTGTTAAGGGAAACATAAAAAAAGTGTTAAGGGAAACATAAATCATTTCACGTTATTAATATTCGATTACGAAAAAGATATTAATATTAGCTCAAAAATCGAATAACGAAATTGGCAAATGTTAATCTGTAAACGTTAAGACGATCGAATCTATTGATTTAGCTCAGAAATATTCATGCGGTTTTTACTATCTTCCAATTATTATTTTTGATTCCATCAAATTTACATTTGATGATAAGAAATATAATTACATTTAAATTTCTTTCATGTTTATAACAAATTCATTGAATAAATAATAACAGTAATAAATTCTATTTTAAAATTATGAAAAGTTTGATATAATTAAAAAGAAATATTAAAAATGATAGTAATTATAGGAATAAAAATCAGGAAAGAAAACAATAATGAAAAAAAAAACAAACAATGCTGAGTATTTTTAACTTAGATAATAAAATAAAAAAGTGCGAATGAATATGAAATTTAAAAATTTTATAATTAAAAAAAGGAATAAATTTAAAATCCAAGTAGATTAAAGTACAACAAATAATCAATTTCTACTTCTTTCCTATTGTTCACGCCAATTTTATTTGTGGAAGCGGTATATTACAGTAGACATCATATTTGGAAAACGAAAAAAAAAATAAATTAAATGACCTAAGATCAATTTTCCTGTATGTATCGATGCACGGTATGACAAATATCATGCCCGGTCCACGAGCTCCACCAAAAACCAGCCGACCAATTCGAAATATTACTACCCTTTCGTACTCTTTGATGACCTTTATAACAAAATTTTTAATTCATTTCACATATTCAATTATAGATTTTCTATTTTTTTAAACGATTCTCAATCAATCCATCTAATACAGTAATACTTTTTTGTTAGCCCAATTTGTGAATGAAGCATTGCTGATCACTACTGAACAACGATTGATTAAATTATTAATCAGCTATGTTAAGTAAAGTTTGTAATTGAAATTAATATATTTACTTTTAAGCAAACACACATAGAAAATGGAAAGGTAATTATGATTAGAATCCATGAAAGCACTATAAGTGCATAACCAAATATTGTACCAATTGTCTCATAATCCGGTGGCACATCCTGAAAGAAAATCGGGAGAGGAAATGCCATTTCAGGAAGTTTTGAGCATATCTTCAAATTTTGAGAATCATTTTAAATGAATGACCAATATCAAGACCATATACCGGACATATCGTGTCAGAAAATGCGTTATACTGAGTTTTAGGGAAAAAAAAACAATCAAAAGATATATGTTTACCTGATTCGAAGAAGGTGTCACCCATTGTGGGTCCGTCCGGGTATTTTTTGAAGACATCAGCCCGTTGGAACCCAATTCCGTCTTAAAGTAGTATTCCGGTCCGTCCTGAAAATTAGTTTGACACACGAATTAATAAAATAATTAATATGAATATATTATGATGGTCATACAATGATAACAATAATGGAAGAATTAATCACGAAAAATTTAGGCAAGAATAGATAAACAATTGTGCAGTGCTAAAATGAGCAAAGTAGAAAAAAGCTTAAAGAATATTTTAGATATTTTGTTTAAACAAAATTCTATTATTTAACTAATTTACAAAATTTCTTATTTTGCATCATATTGAATGATTTAATAGTAGCAGTAAATATAGAATAAACTTTTATATTATATCATCATGAACAGAAGTAATTTTATAATGCTATCAATTCTTTTTAATAATTTCGTCTTTAGTATTTCAAGAATTCGAAAATTGCTAGGAATGAAATCAAAATGGATGAGTTGAGTTGTTAGAAGCAAATTATAAAAGAAAAAGTAATGTTTTTCATGTCAAAAAAAAATTCCCTTTTATGATTTGTAAAAGAGAGAAAACGAAATGAGCGAGCAATATTTGAATTATTATTTTCATTTGAAAATAATTCCCATTATTTGTATGATTTTTTTGAAGTTTGATGCTAAATTTGTATCGATTATCTAAAATGATTATATATTTAAATGAACAATCAGTGAAAAAAATCGCTATCATTCAAAATATATTTAAAATCTTTTTTAGAAAAATAAATAAACAATTAAGTCTGATTTAAAAATATATAATTCCTGAATTTATAATTAATTTTACTTCAGCTCGAGCAAATCAAAGTTAAAGTGTAATGTGTAATATTTTAAATAACATATCATTCAACAAATTTGCCATATTGATGACAAATTTGTTGGATGATAATGCTTAAATAATGTAAATATGCATTTCCATAATATTTTTTAAATCTTTGAAGGAAATAATTTGCAAATATTTTTGAAAATATAATCCAGAGATAATTCAGTAATTGGTATATCACAATCGATGTAAAAATCAAAGAAATAGTCAGAACTAAAAGCAATAAAGCTTTAAAAAAGCGTTCATAAAAATTGAGCCCAACAAGATTAAAGCCTATGATAAGAGGACAATATTAAGTCCTTTATGGTAACAATCAAGGATATATGAGAAGAATAGCTAGGAAAGATTAGGAATGATGATGATTTTATACATAAACGAAAAAAAAAACACATATAAATAAATATATGTATGTGCAGCCTAGAAAGCCTGAAAAGCTCCTCCTTTTTAAATCAATCACATTATTTATAGGTACACTTTGGCACTTTAACGCCTAGCCAAGTGCTAGAAAGAAATTATTTCTTAAGTATAATAAGGACTACGAAAGATATTGATTTAAAGACTTAGAAGATGAAAAAAAGAAAGGATATTTGCTCTAAAAATTTTGATTCTTTTTAGGAAAAAAAGTAGAGAGACAATGAAAATATAAATAAGCAAAAGAAGATATCAATTTTAAATAAGTGAAGGAAAAAGACAAATGAAATTTAAATCAGTGAGAAGAAAAAAATAGCGCATTTGAATTATGAAAAGTTATTCATTTTACTAAATTAGAAATAATAAAACAACAAAAATTTACTCGCATTCATTTAACCAAAACAAAAACGGTTTTAAAATTTCATTAAAATTTATTATTTGTTATTATTTAACAAATTGAAAGGAATACGATATTGAAGTATTTGTTTAGCGATTAATAGAAAGCGAAGGGAATTTGAGAAGACATCAGCTGGCATATGCAAAATCGACACTTCTTCAGACTATATAATGGTAAAGAGGAAGGAGGAAGTGAAAGGCAGAGTTATTTCCTCCAATCTTTCGTGCCTTTTTAAGGCTTCGTTTCAAAGAGATCGATTCAATGAAATTTGATTAAAGGAATGAGGACAGACATGCCTTGACGAGAAGTAAAAATTGAAACAAATATACATGAACTATTACTTTGTATGAATAATATAAAACTCTATTCATTTTGAGTCTAATAAACAAAAAAAATTTAGGTTTAAATTAATAAACAAAAATTGATTAAAGTCGATGCTAATTTTGTATGCTAAAATTTAAAATAAGTTACTTAAATAAAATTTAAATAAAAAGGATGAAACAGTCACATGATGGTTGATTTTTGTGAATACCTTTTCACAACAACTCTTAATTGCTTCTTCTATTCCAACCAATTATTTCCACTTAGATGGCAATTAATATGAATGTATTAATCAAACCAGCTATCATTATGCTAATTATGATATAACCTCGTAAATTTTTCTTGCTTACTATTCCATGAAATAATCTATACTGTGTGTGTTTGTTGAATTAACCATCTTTTTAGAATTCCATTAAACATCAATAAAAAATAAATAGTAATATGTAAATTAATCATAAGTGATATTATAATTCAATTCAGATGTTAGCAATAAAGCATATTTCATTAATACATTGGTAAATTTAAAATATATTATTCTGTAAATACGTCATATCAGATAGCACTTATCAATCTATTAGATTATTTTATAGAAGATAGTAAAATTGACTTGCATGTATAATTTTTAATTAAAATAACAAAGTTATCTCTACAGAAAAATTGTTTATGAACTTAAATTTGCAATTTTATAGGTGAATATATAAAGGAAAAAATATTTTTTTTTGCTATAATTTTTTGCAGGAAAAAGTTTTCCTTGAATCTTTCACAGCGTTGAAGGAAAAAGTTTAAGTTCTCTGCCAAGAAGTATTGTGCATAATTTAGTAATCAATTAAAACAAAAAAAGTATCAAATATTTTGTTTTTATAGAGAATATCATCGTGAATGTGTATAAATATGCCTAATTCGATTTTATTTCTTCAATAACACAGACGAAAGTAATGGCAAGAAAATATTTGCGGTGAGAATAAATGTTAAATTTTGAATATTACTTTAAAAAATCAATAATTTTCAGCGATTTAACTTTTTTTAATATTTATTCAATAAAATTTTATTTGCTATTATTTTTGGTCATATAACTGACGAAATAAAAGTATACATCGTAAGATGCATGTAAATTGAAATTAAATTTTAAAAAAAACGCATGCATTGGTTGAAATTTAAATGTAATAATTCCATAAATGCTGTCAGGAAATTTAAGTTTCTATTTCAAAATTACTTCCATTCTTCGTTTTTTTTCCTTATTCACTAAAATGATTTTATTACGCGTTATCACACTATTTAATCATAAATATAAATTAGAATTTATTCCAGACATATAAGTCAGAAAAGTTTCCTTTAAGAATAAATAAAATTTTTCAATTAAAATAGCTTTAGTGTGAGAAATGTCAAATTTTAAAAGCTGTCATATCTTATTTTGTCGTAGAATAAACAGTGGAAGTGTTTAGCAATAAGAATAAATTTTGAAAAATATAGAAATTGAAGAAATTTCTCAGACATATTTTTTATCAAATAATAAAAAAAAGTAGCGTAACACTCGTAAATAAAATTTGCATGTTTTAACGTATGTATTTTAAAAAAAAATGTATTTAAAAAAAAACAAATTGACTATTTGTTCAAAAAAAATTACATATTATTCTTTTGCCGACGAAAAAATTTATAAATGAAATAGTGTATTGGGAAGAAGAAAAGATATAATTAAGAATAAAAAAAAAAGCATTTGATTGATTTCCGTTTATTTTCCTTAAGAAGCATCAATTTTGTCATTCAAAATGCCATTTCATACTGCTACAATGAAAATGAGATTGATTATACATATATTTTTTAGTTAAATGGAAGGATGAAAGAAATTAAATTATTAGCAAAACTTCCATTCCAGTAATTAAGTGCAGGAATTGAATAATAAATTATACATGCTAATTTACTAAGCTTCATTAGTGAATGTTTTTGCTGATTGTTGTGTTAATTAAAAAAGTAATTTTAACTTCAATATATTACCGATTGACAGGAAAAAATTTTGGAATAGATTTATACAATTTTTATAAGTCTGAAAAAAAGATTTTGCTGAAGAAAGCAAGGGAGGAAAAAACGGATAAAAGGGATCAATTTGCTTGAAAAGAATTAGAATAATTTTTTTTCTTCGGAAGTATTGAAAAAATGAATTAAATGAATAGGAAATAATCAAACTGAAACAGAAGGCTGCTGAAGGAAAGAAGAATTAAAATTTAGTTACTTCAAATGAGAGAAAAAGAAATGAAAATGGCATTTGAATTAAATTTATCTTTATTTATTACTTTTTTTTAAATCATTTCAAACATCAAATATTATTGCTATGGTGGGTTCGTTGAATGCAATCCTTTTTAACGTTTCTTTTTATTTCACTTTTCAAAAAATATACTTCTTATATTTTTAAATAATTTTTTCTGAACTTTTCCGAACTTCCTTCTCATTTTTTTTGGTGCTTTTTTCCCAAATGAGTGATTATTTTAATTGCTTTGAAAAGAGATAAATAACTTCTGCGCTTCTTCATCTTTCGTTCTCGCTCTTTATTTCTTTTTCATTTTTTCATTTTTATGCAATTATTGCTTTTTTAAGTTAAATATTCTAATTTTAAGTGTATTTAACTAAATGAAAAATTTAAACATGAAGTAATGTAATATTGAAATTACTATCCGTATGCCATCCATTTTGTGTTATTATTTCTAATGATCAAATCAAAAGATCATTTCTTTCCTGCTTTCAATATCATTTAATTTTCATAAAGCGAATATTTTTTCATTTATCATTTAATCTTTACTTTTTTAATTTTTTTAGTCTTTGCCTTTCCTTAAATGAAAAATATTTTTTTTCAAATTTTTTGTACTTTTCATTTTACAAATTAACTTATTAAGTTGAAATACTTGGATCATTGCCATATTACAATGTAAATAATGGATTTCATAAGAAAAATCGATTCAGTTCAAGCAACACTGAATTTATTAATTAACATTAAAAATTAATGATTCCATTGGGAGCATTTTGTTATACATTAGCTCCCAATTTTCCTCTAAAAAAACATACACAATTGCAAAAAATATTACCTTAAAAAAGAAAAAAATTACCAATGCAAGATGAAAATTAAATCAAATGTTCATTTAAAATCATTTAATTATATATTTTTGGGAAACTTTCGTCCATTAAATATGTTAATCGTTATTTCACACTTCAATATATACTATAATTTCTTAAGAAGTTGAATTTCTTTTTTTACTTTTAATAAGATAAAAAATTTTTTCTACTCTTATCCTAAATTCACAATAACCTAATAATTAGATTCAGCCAATTAAGCAATATTGTAAGATAACTAATTAACTATAGGTGGCGAATGAATGGTAAGAAATCGTGATAATGATATGATTATAAATAATAAAAACAAAAAGCAATGATGTTGTATAATTATGCACGCATACATGCCATATCTACTTGTTTACTTTATAACATATATCTCACAGCAACTTTTCTCGTATGATAATTTCGTTTAACTAAATTTTGTTTTCTTCACTTCTCATTTGTCTTTTGTCCAATTTAAAAAAGTTATTTTAGTAATTGACAGTTTTTAAAAATCATTCCTCTAAATCTCTCTGTCCTTTTATCATTCAATTTTGAAACGTTTCCACAATTTCGGACGAAAAAAATGAATAATTTTTTAATGTAAATGTCATATAATGCTATAATGGATGTGAAAATACGCAAATTCATAGATGATAATTAGCAATAAAGGGAATTTCGCATAAATTTTCTACATATATTTTATTATTATCCTGTTTTTTTTTACTGAAAAATAATTGATAAAAAAATTTCAAGAAAAGGAGTGAATGAAATTATTTAAATTCTTTTTTTCTTAGTATCAAAAATTTTGAAGCATTCATGAAAATTGTTTTTTTGTTTTTACATCCGAATATTTCAAAGCAAAAAAGGGTAAAGCGATAGAGATTTGAGGAAAAAAGAAGAACGAATGAATTAGAAGATGAGGAAAGAGAGAAAAGGAAGAGAAGGAAAAGGAGGAGGAGGAGGAGAAGGATTATGCAAAATCTATTATATTCGAAAATGATAAATCAGAGAATATAATAGTTGTTATAAGTTTCTATGGTCGCAAACACTGGATGATTTTTAGCTTCCCATGAAACTGATGATGGTAAACAAACCTTTGTCTAGATTTGAAAGATGAATGGTGAGACGAGTAAGACTAGTAAGACTAATAAGACTAGCAAGACTAATAAGACTAATAATAGGAATAAAAATGATGGAAATAAAGGGGAAGATATAGTAGTTGTTCGCTAAATAATTTCATCAATTTTCATTGACTATAAAATTTTGAAATTTCAAATTATTGAAATGAAATTAAAATGACATTTTGTAAAGAATAGAAATAAATGAATGAATATTAATAACAATGTTTAATGGTTAGTGAAGTGATAGACAAAACAAATTTAATAATAAAAAATGTTAACTTTCGATTTTAACATTTCGCTCATTTGAAATGTTTATTGACTGATACTGGATAAACCTAGATATATTTTTGCATTAGCAGTATTATTTGTTATTATACATAACACATTATATTAACCGAAAATTCAGAATCAAATTCAAGTTTTGGATATAACAACTTTAAAATGAAGAAATAAATAAGTTAAAATTTTCGAATATCGCATACATCTGCCAGATAAACGATATCGATAGGCAAAATAAAGCTTAGAATTACAAATTTAAAAGAAGAAATGGACAAAAAAAATTATTAAAATAGCAAAAAAAATCCTCAGTAAAAAAGTGGAAGTGCTAAAAAATTTTCAAGAGACTGAATAATTATAAAATAAATAAAAAGGAAGAAAAGTTTCTCCGTCTTAGAGAGGTATTCCTTGAAATGATAACAAATAACGAGCACTTATTGATAATCAAACATGAGTACAACAATTAGACATGAGTACAGTGATAATGATTGCACTGAAGCAACAGTTAACATTGCAAAAATCGATTAATCACTTATAAAAATATTTTATGCAGATGAGATCATGAAAAATATTAAACGGAATGAAGTATAATCGGAAAAGTTATAAAAGGATTTTCTAAAAATATCTGTAATTAACAAAACTATAAAATACCAGTTTGGAGAATTAATTTAATTCGGAAATAGATTTTTTAAAGTTTATATGATAGTAATCAATTAATGTTCTCTTTTATCAATCCATGACTATCAATTTCCATTTATTCAAAATTCTTTCTTCCTTTCTCATTTTCTTTCATTCGATTATTACTGATAATATTTTCTAATTAAATTTACAAAGAAAAAAGAGTGAAGAAAATAAAAGCAAACTCAACTTTATATACATGTAAACAAAAAAAAAAAATTATGAATCAAATCTTCTTTTCTTCGGATGGATGCAAATAATATACGTTAATAAAATTGTTCTCAAAAAAAAATTCATAACCAAATTCAAATTAATATATGCAAAATAATAAATAAGAAATGCAGCGATAAAAGTAATATACATGTACGATAAGAAAAAAAAAATGATTTTTTGTTTGCGTAAAGAATAAATTGGAGAAAAATGAATAAATAAATTTGATTAAAATAATTTCATAACTGAAATTAAAGTCAGAAAAAGAATGCCGTTGTTGAGATTGGAGTATTTGCAATCAAGGAAAAATGAAAAGAAGCTAATGAATGAGCGATTCGATTTGCTTAGCTTTCTTTATACTATCTCCACCATCTGCTATATCATCATTTCCACTAAGAAAATAGAGGGCATTCTTATGCTTCTTTCTTCACAATCAATGACTGCCAGCTTTTTCAATGCTTATTTTTGATCAATGAACTCACACACACACACACACACACACACACACA